AAACATACATGCCCACTTAATAATAATGGAGACTCAACAGGTGACACCACAACAGATTGTGAACACACAACAACAAGTGAACGAGGAACAACAGATTGCGGAACCACCACCAGTGAATGAGGATGCACCACATGTGAATGAGAAAATACTAAAAGCTAGAGTTACTAAGAACCCCCAAAAAATAGCTGCAGGAAGAAAGGGTGGGCTGGCGCGCAAAGCGAAATTAATAAATAATTCAAATATTAATCCGATTAAAACATGGGCACTAGTAGGAGTTGCTGGTATAGCGGCTGTATGGTTCTTTTATAAGACCGGAGAAGAGAAAACATCACCCCCGCCGCAACAACAAGTTCAATTAGAGGTTAGTCCTCATATAATGCTATAAGAAGCATGACTACTCCAGTTACAGACGGTAAAATGTTGGTAAACGCGACATATCATTCAGCAGTGGTCACCGGCTTGGCCATTGGCTATGCTCGTATGGCTAAAATGATTACTAAAGCCACACCACCCAAGCTAGATTTTAATGGATTTGATATTGGTATGGCCATTCTTGATATTGGATTAGCAATGGCAACGAAGGATTTGCTCATCAAACAAGGACTTATCCCGGAAGACATAATGAAGTAATTAAACATTTGAATATTTATATTCATATAAAGATTTGAATATGGCAACAATTGCGATGATGGTCGGTGGAGCTGTTGTTAATGCTCTAGCTTTTTCGGGGAGTAATTATTTATTTTCCAGTATGAGGGAATCAAACGCTAAAGAAGTTGAAGAGGAGCGTAAACGACATAACAATGCTTTAGAACAACTCCAAGCAGCTCAGTCACAATATATGCGGCAGAGAATGAATAGATTAGACTTTATTCATGAACAACTGATTAAGGAAGGACATTCAATTCAAACGTTTAAGGATGTCGAATCTGCCATGCACGAATACTTCCTCGTTTTTGGGAAAAAACTAGACCCAATACCGAGACCAACAATGAGTCAGTTTTATACACCGTCAGAGGAACAAAAGAACCGAGAGGTCACATTTGTTATTATTGGGTTATCTGCTCTATTGATTTTCAGCTATACCATGAATACGCAGTGACAGCTGTGGCTATGCATAAACCATGATCTATAAATAGCCTAATCAATATCTCGCCTAGTGTAGATGTGATTTGCATTTAGACAAATGATATGATAGATGTATATACCATGAATAACTGCAAGTTTACACTCATGGGTAAGACTACTCTATGTCTAGGCGCGGACACATAAACTATAAGTGTTCTGAATGCGGGATAGGGGTCAAAGGTCATATAGGTTTGGATATATAGTTGTAAGGTATGATGGGAAAACAAACCCGCCCGTGATTTACAGAGGACCAAATGCGGCGGGAAAGTTCCTAGAATATCTACAAAATGAAGAGAGAATAATCAGGGAAAAATTATCGTGTAAGAAACCCATGCGTATGACGAGGGATGATTGGGGGGCCCATAAGAAGTCAACGATTTGTCACGTTTGTAATAAACCCCTGGATGGGGATTCCGTAAGAGATCATTGCCACGTCACGGGTAATTATCGGGGAGCCGCTCATAACGAGTGTAACTTGAAACTAAAAATGAACTCTCAAACAATACCCATCCCCGTTGTGTTTCACAACCTTAGGGGATACGATTCACATCTCATTATGCAAGCTATCTCAAAGACCGACGGCAGTTTAACTTGCATTCCTAACAATATGGAAAAATACATATCGTTCTCGTTGACTAAACCTATACATTATAGGTTATGACTTCGCGATAACAAATCAATATACCGATAAGATAACTCGTCATTTGTTGCTGAGAAAAGGTGTATATCCTTACCAATATATGGATGATTGGTCTAGATTCGAAGAAACTGAATTACCACCCCTCGAATCATTCTATAGTAACTTAACAGAATCTAGAATAACAGATGCCGATTATGAACACGCTCTGACGGTCTGGGATAAATTAGGTTGTAAGAATTTAGGCGATTATCACGATCTGTACTTAAAAACCGATGTACTGTTACTCGCCGATATATTCGAGATATTTAGAAAGACGTGTTTAAAACAATACGGCTTGGACCCGGCATGGTACTATTCCAGTCCCGGACTATCGTGGGATGCATTGTTGAAGAAGACCGGCGTAGAACTAAAACTACTCACAGATTACGATATGCACTTGTTTATTGAGAAAGGATTAAGAGGTGGTATATCGATGGCAGCTAAAAGGTATTCTAAGGCTAATAATAAATTAGTGGAAGGATACGATCCCAGTAAACCCGACACGCACATATTATATCTCGACGCTAACAATTTGTACGGATGGGCTATGAGTCAACCTTTACCCACGGGTGGTTTTGAATGGGTCAATGTGAATAATATCCATAATAATGATGTGAATAAAGGGTACATACTAGAAGTTGACTTGGAATATCCAAGTTCGTTACATAAAGATCATAACAGTTATCCGCTAGCTCCCGAAAGATTAATGGTTAATAAAGATAGGATGTCGGAATATCAACACTCCTTGATGGGTAATAGTAGGTTAGCTAACATAGAAAAACTCGTACCAAATTTGATGGATAAGACAAAATATATAGTTCACTACAGAAATCTCCAGTTGTATCTATCGTTAGGTATGAAACTTAAGAAAATACACAGAGTTCTAAAGTTCGATCAAAGCCCTTGGATGGAGCCCTATATAAGGTTGAACACAGATTTAAGAAAGATAGCTACCAGCTATTTCGAAAAGAATCTGTATAAGCTCATGAATAACTCAGTATTTGGTAAAACTATGGAGAATCTAAGGAAGCGTGTTGATGTTAAATTAGTCAGATCTAATGAGGAAGAAAGACTTAGGAAACTTATAGCCAGTCCGGCTTTTAACAGAAGCAAGATATTCGATAACGACTTAGCCGCGTTGCATATGTAGAAAAGTAATATAAAATTCAACAGACCGGTGTACGTCGGTATGAGTATTCTCGACTTGTCAAAACACTTAATGTATGACTTTTATTACAACGAACTTAAGAAACAATATGGCGATAGATGCGAGGTGTTATATACCGACACAGATTCTTTGTTGATGGAAATACAAACCGAGGATGTGTATAAAGATATGGCAGAAAAAATAGATATGTACGACACGAGGGATTATCCTAAAGATAATCCACTGCACAGCGTTGTAAATAAAAAGGTGTTAGGTAAGATGAAGGATGAATGTGCTGGGACCCCTATAGCTGAGTATGCAGGATTAAGACCTAAGATGTATTCTATAAAGAAGTCCGATAATGGAGAGATAAGAAAAGCTAAGGGCGTTAAGAAGTATGTTGTAAAAAAGCATATCAAACACGAACAGTATAAAGAATCATTATTCAACGGTAGAACGTTCATACACGAGATGAACTCTTTAAGAAGTTACAATCATAGGATATATGGATTAAGAATGAACAAGACATCATTATCCCCTTAGATACAAAGAGATGGATTGATAATGATGGTGTAACTACCTATGCTTATGGTTATGGTGGTAATACCGTACCATCGGGAACTATGAACAACTCTTCTCGTACAAATGCCCTACCCGGTCCATCTTGAAGATAATAAAGAATAGGCTCTCCTTCTTTCGTAACCAATCGACTAATGTTATACGTCTTAAGGGACCATATGGGATCGGTTGCGCGACGTAGGCCTCCTTCGAGTTCACCGGCCTGGTATAAATATCTTACCCTTACTCTATCCGGAAGTTTTCGTTCTTTGCCTCTCCTCGGTGCTGAAGATTCGGAAGTCACGGATTTCATTTTAATAGCATCGGATGGTTTCTTCCCTATTAATCTCGTTACTTCATTATTCAGCGCTGATACAACGGCTGATAATCGTGTCACCCATTCGGTTGATCTCAATCGCTCGGATTTCATTTCCATCCCATTCTGATAGCCAAACAAACGTTCCGCTAATGTCCGGTTAAATCTTTCGACGATAGCTTGACTGCGGTGGGCCTCTCTTTCACCACGGACGATTTCAACATCGTTCTTTGTTAACAGTTTAGTTACCGATCCCATAAACTCGCGACCGGGATCTACTTGAAATAGCTTAGGCCATTTTAGTGGTCCGCGTTTATATATGCGACTCAGTGCATTAGCTACTTCTGTTGATTCTTTCGATGTTAATGGCTCAGCCTCTTTGTATCGACTAGCCACATCCACTACTGTTAAAGTGTATTTATACGTTTTGCGTTTTACCTTATCGTTGGGAAGAAACAAGAGGTCAGCCTGATGAACTTCATTCGTCGTAAAAATATCAAACTTCTTCCTCGGTATATAACGCGGTGCCGGTAAGTATATTTGCCACATCGCTTGTTTCTTTAACCAATCCTTGGCCACATCTTTAGATACCTTAGCCGTGGTGGCTAATTTTATTATTGCTCCTACACCTTTCCAATATCCTCGTGGGCTATAGTAAATTTTATCCATTATTAATTAATATTGATGTTTCGTTTAATATAACTCATGGCTATCGTTAAATCGCATCATCATTTACGCATAAAAAATCCCCCCTGTAGTAGCAGTATAGGTAATAAATCTGGCTCCAGTGGAAGTGGTCCAGAACCCCCATTACCTATACTACTAAAGGGAAGTAACTGTTTGGTATATTGGATTGCAATATTTTTTATATTGCAGCATTTCACAGCTGAGGTCATGTGTTCAAGGAGTGGAATATTTACAGATATGTTTTAAAAGTGGAAATAAAAAGCAAACATGCTGCAGACTTTATGATGACGCAGAGGTGCCTGAGGACCAAGATTAATTTTTTTGAGACTTTGATATGCAAATGTCTACCTTTCTAACCACACTTACTCGCTCCAAACTACAAAACCCTATAAAGCATTCACAGTCAGTTGAATCTCCTCCCGTTACACAGCAAGGCAACAACGGGGGCTGAGTGTGTTGCTAACCAATGTACTGTCTATACTGACCTTAAGAAATTTGTCAAATTTTAACAAAGACTCTTTCAATTGGTACTCCTTTTTCTCTAACTCCTCTCGTCTCTGTTGTAAACTCTCCATCTTCATTTGAAACTCCTGAAAGAAATTTGTGTACATGGTATAATGTGATAATGCTGCTCTGTTAACAAGAAACGTTTATTTCAACAATTAAAAAGATGAAAATAAATGATTAATTACGAGAAGTCCTAGACAATGGAATGAACTTTTTCCCCAACTGACCTCCTTTTGAACTAGAAGTCCCAGATAATAGAATAAACTCTTTTCCCCAACTGACCTCCTTTTGAGCTGCAAGAGCCTGCTCCACCTCTGCCATTTCCCTGCGTTTCTCCAGCAGCCGTGTGGCAGGAGTCAGGTGGTCATCCTCCCTCTCCGGCATCTTTCTGTATACACACACATCAACCAATAAGGACAACTGGACACATTAAGCATGCAAAACAGGTACCGTATTCGACGTAATAAGCGCCCCGCTCTAATAAGCGCCCACGGCGATAATTGCTCATATATTGGCTAGTGAACAATCCCAATTAGCACCCTTTCCGATTGATCAATGTACACAAGACTTATTTATTCGCGCATAATACGCACTCGTGTGTTATATGCACCCTTAATTATGGGCAATTAAATGCTGAAAAAGTATATCTGTCGTATATAAACATTTCAGTCTGTCAGCATAAACCACGAAATTTATCTTTCAAATCTGTTTTTTCCACCAAAATAATATTCTTATAAGAGCCCCCTGTTTCTAATTTTGAGAGCGCCCTGGGCGCTTATTACGTCGAATACGGTATATTACATAATTCATAGGGGTAGCAACTTTCATCAGTATGCCTATTATAATGCATCAATATTTATGTAACAAATGTTATATTTAGGATAACACTTTCTTTGTAAGGTACAGATTATCATACTTTTTGGGGTTGAGTCCCATCCGGGATTCGAACCCACATTGCACCTAATCGCCAGCACACAAAGTCGGCGATCTAACACACTCAGCCACCGAGGCTTCCACAAAATGAAAGTCTGACAACATATAGTCTAGATCACAACCTTTGTGTACCCCTCTGACAAGTGTAAATTGGCACGGCTCCCATGGCCGAAAGCTATGAACACACGAATGCGATTTAGAAAGTGGTCAAATTTAACAATGGGCAGGTGGTTAGGAATATTGCTGAATGTACAGTTTCATCACCTGTTTTCATGAAACTTTGATATCACGCTGAGGCTCTATCTCTCAAATATTTTTTACAGCACCACCTGCTAGATTTGACTGAAACTTATACTTCAGAATATATAATCTAGTTACCGGTTCAAGTATAATAAACATGATATAAACCTTCAAAGAAATTATCAAGAGAGCTAAAATCTGACTGATAAGTGTTAATGTTATTGCCATCTGTGAACTGGGGTATCCGGGGGTCGATTAAACTGTTGCCCATTGGCCTATGGCCAGATAAAATTACAAAGGGCTTGCTGAAGTGTAGGTAGAATGGCCCATTTGGCAGTCAAAATTTGACCCTTTCCTGTGTATGTTTAATTTTTTAGTTGGACACTGCTCAATGAGAAAATATTTAGGCGGGATGATGTCATGTGAATGGTTACCTCAAAGAAAGATATATGTTGATCATCTTGGTAGAATGACAACCGGCCACCATTTTGTAATATTGTGTACAACATCTTTATTGGCTCATAAATCACCACAAAATGAGGCAAATGGAAGCCAAGATGTAACCTCAGAGTGCAGAAAAAGGTGTTTTAGGGGTGTGGAGTCATAAGGTGGGCACTAGGTTGCTACATGGCCTCAGGTTTGGCCACTTTGTGGCTTCCACCATTTAGTTGTCGGCCAGTTAGTTTGGAGAAGGGCCAGTAACTTTTAAAAGGAGCAAGCCCTGCTAGCTCAGGGTCAGAAATTAACACTAGCCCGCTAGCCCAGAGCTAGTACAAATTCCTGCCGGCTTGTACAAATTTTCCAATTTCAAAATTGTTTTAACATTACAAGGGCATTTTAACTTTACCCGTGTTAGTAGAGCTTTTCAGTTTATTTCTAACACTGTTAAGCTACATACAAATTTGTTGTAAAAATCTACCACTGGTATCCTACTGTAAACTCAACATTCTCGTATGTCCCTTGAATGTTGCCTGTGGATTTAAGAAAACATGGAATTGTGAGGGAGGGAGTTTGGTTCAATGCCCCTTTGAACAGTATTTCAGTTTATCATGGTGTGTCAGCTTCATATGGAACTTGAAGGAAAGCTTGAAGTAATGCAGGTCTTAGACATTTACCACTTTGGTGTAACCCACAAGCATGGGTAATGTGCTGACACACCTTGAAACATAATCGGGGCTAATCTGGGATTCTAACCAGTGAGTTAGGGATGTGAGTTAGGGATGCAACTCTGCACAGACTGGTATTCCGAACAATGAGTTAGGGATGCATCTCTGCACAGACTGGTATTCCGAACGAGTTAGGGATGCAACTCTGCACAGACTGGTATTCCGAACAACAAGTTAGGGATGCAACTCTGCACAGACTGGTATTCCGAACATCGAGTTAGGGATGCAACTCTGCACAGACTGGTATTCCGAACAACGAGTTAGGGATGCAACTCTGCACAGACTGGTATTCCGAACAACAAGTTAGGGATGCAACTCTGCACAGACTGGTATTCCGGACAACGAGTTAAGGATGCAACTCTGCACAGACTGGTATTCCGAACAACGAGTTAGGGATGCAACTCTGCACAGACTTGTATTCCGAACAACGATTATGGGGCTGTACGACCGATTCAATCAGAATCATCATCTATGATCTATCTCACATTTCAGTGGGATAAACATTTAAAACGGAAGAGACTTTACACAGCCTGTTGAGTACTTCCATACAAGATTGTCCATCTGTTAGACATTCCAGAATGTTCTTTTGTTCATTATTTAAATTTTGAATGGAAACTTAAAAATATTTTTAAAAACGTAGTCTGGAATCGAAGTCACCAGTTTAAAACTAGTGCCTTCAAGCTCAAGAGGGCTGCTTTCTAATTGGTTTATGCTGACTTATTGTTTGTCATTTCATTAGTCAGGTGCAAGGGGGTTATTCTGATGTGATCTGTAATGGGATGTTCTCATATATCTTTATATAGTGGTAGTAAGCACTAAGAATTGATTTTGATTGGGCTTCATTGTATTTATTATGACATGACACTTTTGAAGAGCTAGATCTAGGGCCTACAATGCTGGTCAATTAATCAGGGTCATCTGCTTCTACAGACTCGGGTATTTACATCGTCGCCATCCTTATCATAATGTCTTCTGAAAACTTACACGAGGAGCTTGTCCTCAAATGTTGTCCGAAAGTATTCTTCTAAGCTGACAGTCATCTTGGAGTGTCGCGGTTATCCTTATTTCAACGCTAAAACTAACTAATGTCCAGCCCAAGTCAGCAGCAACACTCAACTTAGAGCACAGCAGCCATTAGTCAACAATGGCGAAGTTGCTAAGTGATAGCCTCGAAGCAAGATTATAATAAGAATGCCATGCCATGAATTATCATAGAAAGTATTGACACATACAGACTAATGGATTAAAGAAATAAAAATGATAATAAAATTATTTCAATGTTTGAATGAGCATATGTGCTTTCATCCGAAAAAACACCGTAGTACCGGAAATTGCCGAGTGAAAGGTGAAAACAAGCAAGATGGCGGGTGTTTGCAGGCTGGCAAGGGTGACCATGTCACCCTTGATTAGACAAGCGGTTTCGAATTTTAGGTTAGATTGGACATTGTTGCATAATATATAGTTCCAAGCGTCTTTTTGTATCAGGCTTAAAATATTGCACACTGACAAAGAACTTTAGTGTGTATCCTTATCTAAGTCATGAAGGTTATTTTTTCTTGACTTGATCTGTAGGCCTATATTTTAGGCTTACGTGCAGATTGTGTGCTCTTGTGTTGTTTCATTACCAGCGTTTAGTCATCAGTATGGATTATGGGAGGAGTGAACTTCATCATGCACCGTCTTTGTTCTGGATTCCTAGTAATCTTAACTCCAAAATCTTCATCGTATAAGTGACAAAGGGCTGATATACGAGTTATTTACAGACAGTATAGTTTACAGTAAAGTTACTAAAATAAAAAAACAAACCACTTTTTCTCGGGAGTGTTTACATCAGTGATGGGTATTGGCCTAACTTTATTATGGCAATAATGATTTATGTTTTGTGATACATACCACACTATATCACAATATTTTTTTATCTGTAATTGTTATGACCTGCACAATTTTGAAAACTTTCAGTGTTCCTGTTTACCGGTAATTACCAGTTTTTTACCGGTTAAATTAGGCTTGGACCGGTAATTAATATGACTGCCAGTCCCTGTGGACCGGCAAAAAAAGTATTTTATTAATCTTTGTTATTTAACAGAACATCAGCGATATTCATATAAGTTTAGTTTTTGAACGAAGTAAGCTTGTCTGTTGCCATTTTGGTTATCCCCTTGTCTATTTTCTGTGCAGGGAAATAACGTTTCGAATTGCTTCAAGATTAAATATATATTTGTAGCGATTAAGCCTAGAAATTATTTTTTTTAAAATGTGAATGACATGTAGATCTAACTAAATTACTTCAGAGATGATCCGCCCGGAGAGCGGAAGGTCCGGGGTTCGATCCCCGGCCGCGTCATACCAAAAGACGTTAAAAGATGGTACTTGTTGTTACCCTGTCTGGCGCTCGGCATTAAGGGGCTAAAACAAGGACTGGTCGGCTCGGAGTCAGTATACTGTGTCTGAGTGGGTTATTCATGTTAAACTGCGGCATGGTATCTCAGTGAGCTAGCACTATAAATCGGCATCAGTCCGGACTAGTACAAGCAGCCACACACACACACACACGTGCATGCACGTCGCTATATAAGTGCAATAATCTTGGACGCGACGTTAAAACCAATTTCACCTCACCTCACTTCAGAGATGACTCTTATTTGTTGATGGTTGGGACTGACAAAAATTAAAGGGGACTGGTAATTTTTAGAGTTGCCAGTCCACCCGGACTGACAGTTTCAAAAGCCAGCGGGAACACTGACTTTATTATCGTATGCACCTTCGTCACATAAGGAAGAGAATTTATGTCAACTTCTATATTATGAGGAACACAACATTTCGGAGTATATACTTACTCCATCATCAGTGTTCCCGTTTACCGGTAATTACCAGTTCTTCACGGTAAAATTAGGCTTAATTCATGTGACTGCCGGTTCCTGTGGACCATCTTTTTTGTGTGTAAGGAAATAACATTTAGCTTTGCTTCAAGGTGATGGGTAAAAGGCAATAAACAATGGGCAAACAGGAAGCTGGGGATAATTAGCATTGATAGGTAATGGAATGACAATGGTCAAATGGAATTCAGCCAGATATCACCCCAGTGCTTGGGCATGACTGATGCTCAATCACCACACTGAGTCTACAGCTGTATGCAGGTGCTCCCTCACATACCGTCATATCACCCCAATGCTTTGGGGGGGACTGATGCTCAATCACCACACTGAGTCTACAGCTGTATGCAGGTGCTCCTTCACATACCGTCATATCACCCCAATGCTTGGGGGGACTGATGCTCAATCACCACACTGAGTCTACAGCTGTATGCAGGTGCTCCTTCACATACCGTCATATCACCCCAATGCTTGGGGGGGACTGATGCTCAATCACCATACTGAGTCTACAGCTGTATGCAAGTGCTCCTTCACATATCGTCATATCACCCCAATGCTTGGGGGGGGACTGATGCTCAATCACCACACTGAGTCTTACAGCTGTATACAGGTGCTCCTTCACATACCGTCATATCACCCCAATGCTTGGGGGGGGGGACTGATGCTCAATCACCACACTGAGTTTACAGCTGTATGCAGGTGCTCCCTCACATACCGTCATATCACCCCAATGCTTTGGGGGGACTGATGCTCAATCACCACACTGAGTCTACAGCTGTATGCAGGTGCTCCCTCACATACCGTCATATCACCCCAGTGCTTGGGGGGCGGGGGGGGACTGATGCTCAATCACCACACTGAGTCTACAGCTGTATGCAGGTGCTCCCTCACATACCACCCTCGTCATATCACCCCAATGCTTGGGCATGACTGATGCTCAGTGGTGGAGGTAACATGAGAATCCCCATAACGCCAAATTGATGTTCATGTTCATGTATGTGCTGTATGTATAGCTTTAGTTGTTACCCAATGTCTTCACAATAAATAGTCTGTTGCATTCTGTGTTTTGTTGGCATTATAAACTGGTAAAATTGTGTTAAGAAACTAAAACATATTTTGCACCTTTTCTGGTGAGACGTTAGAAATAGGAAACAGACATCTATACATTTAAGATTGTATTTCACTTTCACTAAAATGCAGACAACGAAATGCAGTTTATATTTCTTCTGTGCATGTCACTTCAAGTTCTTATGAATGAGCTATTTTCTTGACTTGCCTACATTCATTTTTCTTATGATCAATTGACATTAATTGACTTCTTCAACAGTGTCATTGTGTTGCTTGTTGAAAACATCTTTTAAGGGAACAGATTGTGTACTGTTAGCTTTTGCAATTTTGTAAGCAATTGAAACAAGCAGAATGTAGATTTGTTGTCATTAAATAAGGTAAACGTCATATTTATGAGCAAAGAATGGGTACTGGAGTCTTGCGTCGGGTAATGACACACAGGTTCATGTCTAACTGTCACAGCTCTAATTATCATGACTAACTTAATAACTACTTACCCTAAAACCCTCTTTCCTTCATAGAGGGCATGGGTGGCCCAGTCATCTAAGATGCAGTAATTCCTTGTGCAGAGTTGTGTCCCTTGGGCATGCTAGACACCTATGATTGTGGGTTTGAATCTTGATCTGCCACAATTATGTTTCTAGTTTGTCAGCACCATAACCTGTGCCAATGGTTTTCACTAAAATGGCAATATGGCCACTGCAGCAGCTTTTTGAAAAACATATTTATGGCCTTCACCCTGTGCACAGCAATTTGTTTTAACATGTTTAAATTGAATTAAAGTTTTTTTTAGTTTCGTGGACATACGTTTGAACTAGGTTTGTATGCTACTGCTTGATAACTGAAAACAAATTTAACTTGTGAATGGTTTTAGTGGTGTTCTTAAGTGCTCTCTTCCCTCTGTGTTTCAAAATATTTTAATATTTAACATTGTTTTGACCTACCTTTGTGTTTGACCATGCTCAAATGTGCTTTAAATGCATTTTGAACTCTGTCCACTTCTACCCTACACTTACCAGACTGAGGAAGCTGAACATGTTTGTTGCTTCTGATGACCTGCTGTGATGGTTGTGTTCCAGGTGTGTCAGCACGACAGGAGTGACACACAAGCAGTTTGCTGAGTCTGCTGACTTTCAGGATGATGAAAGGAGGAGTTGGCTGAAGAACCTGCTTCGTGTCCGAACACTTCCCACTAGCTCCGAGTCTCACTCCAGTCAACTCTCAAGTAAAGAAACAGTCTATGAGATTCAGTGTATGTATTCATACATGTATTTGTGTTCAGCTTTGGATTATTTCTCATGTTGTTAACACAGTTAAGAATCAGTATTGCTGTATACTATGTTCAGAATATATCTGCCCTCATGTTTATTTATTATTATAGTCTGCAGCAAATGTGTATATAAATTCCCAAATAGGAATTATACATTTCCCAATTCATGTTAATATAGTTATAACTAATGTTATGGCTTTGTAGAGGTAACTTGTATAGTGCTGATAACAGGACCAATAGAGAGGAAGAGGCTTTAATGCCTAGGTTTACATTATTGCAGTGTTAAATACAGTGTTAGTAGAGTGTTAAATATCTCAGAATTTATGAAATTAAGAATGTTTTTAAATTTTGAACATTATTATCACCCAGTTTTCCTGCTAAAGGCACTCCCTGTAAGCAATTCTGTTCATCTTTCCTGGAGCAGTGCTGATGGCTTTCCAAATGATAACCTTGCACATATTATTTGGTAAGATAATTGTCAGTTAACCATGCTATCATGGTTAACAAATAGATTGTATTTGCCTTTGTTTTCAGTTCATGCAGTGAAACCAGAATCTATGGAAGATTATTTAAATCAGTTGTAAGTAAATAAGGGCCATCTACTAACAATGAGTGTGATCTTGTGTAACATTTGATGTGAAATGGTACATGTAGTAAAGTTTCTCTTTACTCTAGGCTCTATTAGAAACAACTATGGATAATTAGACAGAGTTGTCTGCCCGAACTACATTCGAAACAAAACATAACAGATCATGAATATGTGACACCTTTTTATGGTTTACAACCACTATTTTCTTTGTATTGATGTTTCAGGGTCCCTTTGTTAGATTACCGCATTGAGTTAATATATATACATGCTGAAATGTTTACATACAATGGATTAATGTACAAAAATAACAGTATTATGACCTCCTGACCTCCTGACCTTGATATTTCCTGCCAAAATTCTCCATACCAACATCAATCACTGAAAAACAGGGAAACCTCAAAAACTTTTCAAATACAATGAAAGAAGCCAGACATTTACACTGACCATTAGAAACTAAATATTACAAAATATCATTTCTGTGTCATTTGAAATAATATGAAGAAAATCCTTATCGTCAGGATCATGAGAGGTAAACATATACCACTAAGTATTGTAAATAATTATAATTATTGTGATTGGCGGTGGGGTAGCCAAGTGGTTAAAGCGTTGGCTTGTCACCCAAAGTCCTGGGTATAATGTGTGAAGCCCATTTCCGGGGTCCCCCGTCATGATTTTCCTGGAATATTGCTAAAAGCGGCGTAAAACCCATACTCACTCACTAGTTATTGTGATAAAGAATGTCAATAATTGTGTGAGATCAGAGACCATAAAATAAATTTGATGGCCCTCCCTAACAGTTTATCATTAACCATCAGCGTGTAACTGATAAACCCCCGACACCCTGCTGTTAACCTTCCGTGTCCCGTTGTGTGTTTGTGCGTTTGTGAATCCCCTTCTACTACGGCTATCTCTGATACGCCAGTTACTGCCATTGAGTCGCAGTCTACCACCACTTCGTTTTCGTCTTCATCTTCGGCCGCCTCCACGACAACTCAGACGACGTCACCACAGATGATGGTCAGGTCTTCCATGACAGTAACGACCCATATGCCGAATGTAGCTCTCCCACTGTTGATGACTGCTCCTCCTGTGTCGACTATGACCCCCCTGATGTCTACGTTGACTAAGCCTTTGATCTTCAACCCTTACACGGTGACCGCGGTGCTGGCGACTGCACAGTTGCACAGTGACCTCACCGAGTATTGGTGCTTGCGATACCAAAGGCAACAGTTTATGCAGAGAGGAAACTCACATATTAATTGGCTGTTACATGTGGTCAAAAACAGGTTTATTTGCATTTAGAAGTTGGAACAGTAATGTGTTTATGTATATCTATTATCTAATAAAAAGAAAACATGGTTAAGAGTTTAAGATAAGAAAAATACATTAAAAAGTTAAGTGGAAAGGGATTAACTGTCTACTGGACCATGGTGTTTTAAGCTATAGTTTTGGCAGACAGGCAGTATATTTACATCTTTGGTACAGCAATATTATAAATAGGTTAACATATCCAAATGTATCCAGCTCGATTACATGAAAGTAAAGATATCTGTTTATCTGCACGTATAAAATTCATCAAATCTATAAGGCACTAGATATACCTTTCCATCAATAATTCATTAATGCCCAATGCGAGATAGCATATGATAAAGCATTTTGTCAATGTTGAAATTCATGTTTGAAGTGACATTAGAATGCCATATTTCTGTACATTAGTTAAAAGACTTTTAAATTGTAAAACAAGCTATGTATAGAAGATGGCATATACTTGTAGAAAGTTTGGTAAACGATAACAATGCTTGAATGAAGTAACCTCCTATCTCCCCACATTGACAATGGGCCTTTAGTGTAAAGGCATGTACTCAAATCAAGGGCAGATAAGTATGTTTCTAATAGAGCCTGTGAACATGATATAAAAACTGACACTGTTTTGTTATGAGCAAAGAATACAAAGTTTGTGTTCAACCTGTAGGTCTAGTAGTAAGGAAATAATTTTCAATTAGATTGCTTTATGTTGACTGACTTGATTGACAGGGTGTGATTGTGTGACTTTCTTGCAGCCAAGAGTTTGAGGAGTTGTTGAAGAAGAAAGATGCGGGTCAAAGTCTTGTAGGTAGCTTCACTGTGGAAATTGGTGACCAGGATGAAGCAAGTAAGTTATTGTCCTGCTTATACAGTGAACTACTCTTCCATGGTTGTCAGATATCATGATTAGGTCTGGCCTCAGCAGACCGCAGCATGACAGAAAACATTGTGGCAGGATTTCAGCTGCTTCATTGACAATCAGCTGTACAAAACAGAATATTATTTTGACTACTAAGCTAAGTCTCCTATACTTTTGTTAAACTCAATACACTTATGATGGTTTGATTGTGTGGCTGATCATGATGACCCTTTCAACAGTTCACATATGGGCATTCAAGGGAGGCTACCCTGTACTCAATAGAGCAAATCAGATCTACAGAACAGACCAAGTAAGTTTATACCTGGATACAGATACTAACATCACATCCATTGTACTGCCAATCTTTAATCTTATGCTTGTATTGATTGTCAGTAAACCTTATTAAATGTGCAAGCCTATTTTTCATTTTGGAGTGCTGTAAACGTGAAGGTTACAGGATAACATAATGACATGATAACATAAAATGTTGCTAGTTTCATGTTTTTGTTTTAGACCATTGGTATTAAATGTATCAACATGGTGTGTTGACAGGATTTCATAAAATTTCGCAAGAATCGCAACAAGATGCTGCGATCGAGGAGGAACCAGATCCTGCTTGCTTTTAGTTTCTGGCCTGAGCTCAAACCCAGAGAAGGCAAAAGCATTTACGAACTCAGGAGTTATGTCCTTAAGGTAAGCCACACAGCTGTTTCCTTCACAGTAGTGACAGTACATTTTGAGAAGGTACCTGTAGTATATTTAGTATGCTGAGGGAACCCCTTGCTGCTGTGTGTGGACACCCATCACTGTAAGACTGTAAGCTATGCCACTGGAATTACAGCTAACCATCACATGAAATACTCAACACCCAAGTCCATGTCTTCCACTGATGTTGCTACAATCATGTTAAAACAGTGTAAACTCTTTCCATGTAAAACTCACTCTCCTAGTTTTGACAATATGTTTTCTTTCCCGCAGCCGGGAACTATGATTGAGTGGGGCAATAACTGGTGAGTATTGCTTGTGCTGTTGCCTTATTTTCTTGTTCTAAAACCATTTAGGTAAACTGGATACAGAAAGTACCATTTTCTCATTTCAAGAAATAAACTACTTGACCTACTTGAGTTTAAGACTAAAAGGAAAATCGAAAACTTCATTAACGTTATTCCTATTTGAAAGTGAGTACTTGTGAATACTTCTTGTGTCATGTCTTATTTAACATGTTTAAACTTGCTGATGGGGCAGGAGCAGATTTCCAAGTTTGAAGTTTCATTGTGCTCTGTTTTTGTGAAGAAATATCCACAAATCTGGTAATTTATTTACACTTTGCTTTGTGAAGATATCAGGCATTAATAATTGGGAAATCTCAACATGACCCAGAGGTAGAAATACAATGAAATACAAGAATCTATGTGTACATACAATACTGGTTGATCAAGAGGGTATTTCAGACAACTTATCGTGTTCGACCCAATAAGTGCCCAGGGAACTTAAAATAAAGACAGAAGGGGTGGGCGCTTATTGGGACCAATTCAGAGTCAAATTGGCGTAAATTCATCAGTAAGCCTATCGATATTCTTCTGTTGCTGGGGGGCTAGAGATAAACTGTTACTTACGTTTTACTGGTGAACATCTCCTCATTAACCGACTACAAAAGATCCTTGACCGTATGTAAAAAACAGGTGAGTAAATCTTACTTGGGCATCCGGGAAAAGGGGAGGGGGGGTGCTTATTGGGACATGGGCGCTTATTGGGTCGAATACGGTAAGTGTTAACCTGTCACTTCCTGATTTGGGTATAGTGTTTGCCCATTTCCTAAATCCTGGATTGGCCTCTGTATAACATGTATTATAAAAGTGATGCAAGGCATATACTGCCAAACTTCCATTCTCCAAAGGCTCACATGGTGCTTGTGCAAGTATGTCACTATTTAGGAGGAAAAAGAATGCAGTTGTACATTACAATCAGTTGTGCACATCTGTCAATCATGATGGGCTTGTTGAGGATTAAAGTAATGATTAAAATGATTAATGATAATAAATAATGGGAAAAAGGGAATTTGTAGATAAATTATTTCTTTTTGAAATTCACAAAGAACAAGAAACATGCAAATCTGACCTTGCACCTGTGGTATTTTTGTCTTCAATGCCTTGTTTTTAGTGGAGGCTGCAGTGTGACGTGTTGGATATCCTAAGGTGAACATGACTTGTTACGTATTGTCCACGCTGTCGACATCATACATTCCTGGGATCATAGTCCACACTGCATCGTCTTATCTTATCATTAAACCTATTTATTTTTCAGTTTTCCACCATTTTTGGCAGGTACCGGCACATGCAGGTGCACTGTCCCAATTTTTGAGTGCTTATTGTCTCAAATAAATTTTTCAACATAAGTAGTCATGTCATTACACAAAACTTGGAATCTTCATATTAGAAAAAAGCAACAGTGAAATAGCTCAAAATGATAATTTTATCAGTTCATGCCAGAAAGTGCTGGGAAAACAAGCTGTCAAAATGTGTCGGAGTTCAATATGCAACATAAGTGAGATTGAAAGGTGGACCTACAAACACTAATATTGTTTACCTGCATTTAGGGCCCGAGGAATCCAAGCCCGTCAAACTAACAATGAACCAGTAGCAGGGTTCTTTTCACAGATGGGAGAACTGTATAACGCTCACCATATCTGGGGTAAGTGTGTGAGCTTTGCTGTGCTCACTCAGAGTGTTTTGGTCACAGACAGGCAGCAAGGTAGTGTGAGACACAGATTTCAGTGATTTGTTTTTTCATTCCTATTCATTTAGACTTACTACCAGTATGTTCTAACACAGTGTTTTTGCACAGTTGACTGACATCATGCCCTTTGCTTAATCATTTGCATGCTGCAATACTTTTTACCCTCATCCTTTTTTTTAGGAATTAGGAAATTTCACGATTTTGGAGGGTCTGTTTCCATGACTTTGCTATTTCAACTTTTTCATAAAACTGAAAAATGTTGTTGATAGTCATTTCAATTTTGCTAAAAGATAGTAAGATCCGATTGGAAATATATTAAAATATTATGTATGGATATGATTGAAACTAAACTGTAGGCAGACTTGATGTGTAAGCAGTGTTAGTCATGTTTTGAGTGAACAGTTGCTGTTATTATCATGCTGTCTCAGCATTTCTGTGTTTTGCATATTCTACCTGAAAAAATGAAAGAAAGCCAGCAAACTGTATACTGAACATGCTGCTGTCAAAGTATGAATGTTATTCTTGTCCTTCTTGTACCTGTCTGTCCTTTTACTGAGTTGTTATCCTTCTTGGGGTGTTTATTTGGAATGTCAGTTACAATGGCTGATTCTGGCTGTGTTTGAACATTGCATGTTAACCTGTCTCCTTGAATGCTGTCACACAACAGACTGACAGTAAAGTGACTTGTTCTGACCAGGCCATAAGTCTGCCATGGGAATGCTGATCGGTCAATCTTTTTGGGATGGATTGATCTGGGCAACAATTGATGTGGGGGTAAATAGTTGATGGAGAAGTTAGGACTATGCTCCTAGCAACATTTTAAGTTCGCTTTTGTTGTAGATCAAGTAGGAGTTAATGTGAACAGGCCCAATACGAGTAGGCAAAGTCATAAGCACATCCCATTGCACAAGACTTAAGGTGCAGAATGACACTGAAAACTTTACTTTCACCTGTTATATCATGTATCATTTCTTAATTCATATTTTGTTTCATCTGCTTTCTGTACAATGGTGACAGTAGGTGACCTGAGCTATAGCAACGAGGTCAATTAACTAATCTAAAAAGTTGTACAAGAAAAGTGGAAGAAAAATTCCTGTGCCCATGACTTGGACTGGCTGCAGCACTGAGTAGCTGTAGCTGGTCACCTGGTGTCACCCAACAGGTTACTTTGAGTCATCATGGAGCTTCTAGTCTTAGGTTAACCCTGGTCACAGCTGTCTGCAGGTGTCGTACTAACCATCCTGCAAATAGATGATGTAACTAGTCACCTACAGGGTGTCATCAGTCTCTGAAGGATGGGACTATTGCAACTATATTTCTGAATTTGAAATAAGGCACTGGCATCCATTTACCGCAGATGTAAAATGTTAAAGTAAGTTGAAGTGTGCTTGGATTACTTGGTAAAGAACCAATTTTAATGAAAATTTTCCAGAATTTATTGCACAGTCTATTTGCAGGATTATCCTCCTAATGCTTGATGGCCTTGTTTTGATACTTTCAGTGCTGCCTGCACCACTGAGTGTTCTGTGTGTTTCAGTAGTGGGTTACCTAGATGTTGTCTAACACTGGCCACATGTAGGTGCAAGGCTAATCAAGTACCAACCAGTGCTGGACTATCACTGGACAATTGGGAAAACATGCAATAACCTAACATTTCATTTGGGCATTCACACAGGTTAAAGTAAAGTAACAGGTTTGGACTACCATGAATATCCCTAAATGCTAAATTCCTGTGATAAGTATGTATAAATCCTGTGCTTGTGATCTCCAGTGAAGTTTAGTATTTGTATTGTTTTTCTGAGTGAGCTTCCATGGTTTAGTTATTGTGACAGTCATGCCATGATGAATACACAGTAGTCCTCTGTAGTTTTGGGGTGTTGGTCTGAGTTTCAGCTGAGTGAGAGGCAGCTGAGACCCCACATATAGCCACAAACATAGAATTCTCTGAGGACCGTCTAGATGTTGTAACTGTCTTGTTGATTTGAAGGGCGAGAGGGATAAAGTACCGACAAGCTAGTAACTCCCCTGTTGCCGGCTTCTTCTCCCATCTTGGAGAGCAGTATAATGTACATCACTTGTGGGGTACGTAGTCCCACCTGCCCATCAGGATCTTGGTCTGTATATGCTGTAACAATGTAACATGCTTGCACACTGCAAGTGTGGAACAGTACCCTCATGGTAGCCTTCTCAATGCCTTGGTGATTTGTCAGGTAACCACAGGTCTTGTCCTTGTTGGGACTCTCAGAGGCATAGTGTTGGAACACACCCTTTTCCATTTACTGTGGGAATGTTCTGTATTGTCATACCATGGGGAATTACAAATAAAAACTTTTTACGTGTATTCAAAGACTATTCACAGACAAGAGTAGTCTGCCATCTATTTACGCAGGCTGTGCACAGACAAGAGTAGGTTGACTAATGAGTCTACCACCCATATGAAGACAAGAGTAGGTTGACAAGGGTGTCTGCAACCCAAACAGACGAGAGTAGGTTGACAAGGGTGTCTGCCACCCATACAGAGATGAGAGTAGGTTGACTAGGGTGTCTGCCACCCATACACAGACAAGAGTAGGTTGACAAGGGTGTCTGCCACCCATACAGAGACAAGAGTAGGTTGACAAGGGTGTGTGCCCCACATATACAGACAAGAGTAGGTTGACAAGGGTGTCTGCCACCCATACACAGACAGGAGTAGGTTGACAAGGGTGTCTGCCCCCCATACACAGACAAGAGTAGGTTGACAAGGGTGTCTGCCACCCATACACAGACAAGAGTAGGTTGACAAGGGTGTCTGCCCCCCATACACAGACAAGAGTAGGTTGACTAGGGTGTGTGCCACCTATACACAGACAAGAGTAGGTTGACAAGGGTGTCTGCCCCCCATATTCAGACAAAAGTAGGTTGACAAGGGTGTCTGCCCCCCATACACAGACAAGAGTAGGTTGACCCACCCATATACAGACAGGAGTAGGTTGACAAGGGTGTCTGCCCCCTATATTCAGACAAGAGTAAGTTGACAAGGGTGTCTGTCACCCATACACAGACAAGAGTAGGTTGACTAGGGTGTCTGCCACCCATACACAGACAAGAGTAGGTTGACTAGGGTGTCTGCCACCCATATACAGACAGGAGAAGGTTGACAAGGGTGTCTGCCCCCCATACACAGACAAGAGTAGGTTGACTAGGGTGTCTGCGACCCATACACAGACAAGAGTAGGTTGACTAGGGTGTGTGCGACCCATACACAGACAAGAGTAGGTTGACTAGGGTGTCTGCCACCCATATACAGACAAGAGTAGGTTGACCCACCCATATACAGACAGGAGTAGGTTGACAAGGGTGTCTGCCCCCTATATTCAGACAAGAGTAAGTTGACAAGGGTGTCTGTCACCCATACACAGACAAGAGTAGGTTGACTAGGGTGTCTGCCACCCATACACAGACAAGAGTAGGTTGACTAGGGTGTCTGCCACCCATATACAGACAGGAGAAGGTTGACAAGGGTGTCTGCCCCCCATACACAGACAAGAGTAGGTTGACTAGGGTGTCTGCGACCCATACACAGACAAGAGTAGGTTGACTAGGGTGTGTGCGACCCATACACAGACAAGAGTAGGTTGACTAGGGTGTCTGCCACCCATATACAGACAAGAGTAGGTTGACAAGGGTGTCTGCCACCCATACATTGACGAGAGTAGGTTGACTAGGGTGTCTGCCACCCATACAGAGACGAGAGTAGGTTGACTAGGGTGTGTGCCCCCCATATACAGACAAGAGTAGGTTGACAAGGGTGTCTGCCACCCATACATTGATGAGAGTAGGTTGACTAGGGTGTCTGCCACCCATACAGAGACGAGAGTAGGTTGACTAGGGTGTCTGCCACCCATACACAGACAAGAGTAGGTTAACTAGGGTGTCTGCCACCCATACAGAGACGAGAGTAGGTTGACTAGGGTGTCTGCCCCCCATACATTGACGAGAGTAGGTTGACTAGGGTGTCTGCCACCCATACAGAGACAAGAGTAGGTTGACAAGGGTGTCTGCCCCCCATATACAGACAAGAGTAGGTTGACTAGGGTGTCTGCCACCCATACACAGACAAGAGTAGGTTGACAAGGGTGTCTGCCACCCATACAGAGACGAGAGTAGGTTGAATAGGGTGTGTGCCCCCCATATACAGACAAGAGTAGGTTGACAAGGGTGTCTGCCACCCATACACAGACAGGAGTAGGTTGACAAGGGTGTCTGCCACCCATACACAGACAGGAGTAGGTTGACAAGGGTGTCTGCCACCCATATACAGACGAGAGTAGGTTGACTAGGGTGTGTGCCACCCATATACTGACAAGAGTAGGTTGACAAGGGTGTCTGCCACCCATACACAGACAGGAGTAGGTTGACAAGGGTGTCTGCCACCCATATACAGACAGGAGTAGGTTGACTAGGGTGTCTGCCCCCCATACACAGACAAGAGTAGGTTGACAAGGGTGTCTGCCAACCATACACAGACAAGAGTAGGTTGATAAGGGTGTCTGCCCCCCATATTCAGACAAGAGTAGGTTGACAAGGGTGTCTGCCCCCCATACAGAGACAAGAGTAGGTTGACAAGGGTGTCTGCCACCCATACACAGACGAGTAGGTTGACTAGGGTGTCTGCCACCCATACACAGAGTGCTTTGTTTCTTTGCTTACTTACAAGGTTAAGGTGATCTGGCTGAATGACTGTCAGCAAATCAAAGACTTAGGACTCTGTTGAATTTTTCACAGTCACAGTAAAGTTCAAGATTCTGAAATCATTAGTATAAGAAGTTCATATTCAATCTTTAATTTGCTAGCTTACTTACATTTATGTAATATTTAAAGGCTGTCATGCAAGATGTAAATGCAAGCTTTAGATATGTTTGTTAATCCTCATTTGATTTTGTAGTATGTTCACCTCGATACTAATCCTACTTTCACAATTACATTAATGACTGATTAGACTACTATTTGAATTCATATCGAATGGCAAGTACAGTAAAAATAAAAAGTAAGACAGTCTTAAATGATTATTCAAAATTGATTTTAACATGATTCCCAATGTACATCAATAAAATAGATGAAGTGATTGTATTTAATGGAAGGTTTTTGGCAACATTTGGTGATATACTAAATTTAAAAAAGAATTAAAGAAAACGAAGTCTTCTTGCATTACAAAAACTGCTTTTAGTTTGGATTTTGTGTAATATAGAGAATCTCACCCTTGTGTCCTTTGATATCAAATATATCAACAAGTGTTGAGACAAAAGACATGAGGGTGAGATTTTATTTATCATCCAACATCATTCTTCCAACTTTTTCATTAATAAGTCAGTAATAAGCAGTGTCTTAAGTGTAAAAAATGCTGCTAGCAGCTTCAGTAGCAGAGCCATTAGTGATGTCATTTGATTGTGATGTCATGGTAACCAATGACGTCACAATGGTCTGCAAAGCATTGTGATGCAATTTCATATCTACAGTGTAGATATCGCTTGATCTCACCCAAGCGATATCTCCTGTGGGAGCCAGTTTTGAAAGATAAAATGGGCTATGCAATATGAAAGACATATTTACCTACATGGATTCATTAAAATGTTTAAAACCCAAATCAGAGATTAACTTCAGGTAACATTTATTGTACATGTAATAAAAGTTGCATGCTTAGAGACCCCAATCTCAGCATTCTTGAAAAACATCTGGGTTCAGTCATCAAACAAGAAACCGGTATATATATATATATGCACATATTACATATGAAGTCAATACCTCAGAATTAAAAATATGTTGCATTTGATAAAACATTATGTTAACATTGACAGATTCCTATTCATCATTAGTTTAGGAATATATAACATGTAACAAAGTGATATCTTCTGAAGTTTACAAGATAACTATTGTACTACTCTACCCTTCCTCCTGCCATGGTCTTTCAATTACAGTAAAGGTAATATTATGATATGAACCAATTACCCCTAGCTATGTGGTATGACAAAAAGCATGACATGACAAGTATAATTTTGAGCTAAAGCTAAGCTTTAGCTAAGCTAAATTTTGTTTCATGTCAGAGAGAAGGAAAGCTAACATACAGGGAGTCACCTTATACGTGGGGTTGCTTTATAGACGGTGATATACGGTACTATGCCAGCACTAGGAGAGGTTTCTATGTATTGCAGGCTATAAGGACCTGCAGACCCGCAAGGAGACGAGGGAGGCAGCATGGAGTCGGCCCGGCTGGGATGAATGTGTGTCCTATACAGGTATACACAGACACTACTGATTAAACAACTAATACCAGTATTGAGATGAGTGTGTGTCCTATACAGGTATACACAGACACTACTGATTAAACAACTAATACCAGTATTGAGATGAGTGTGAGTCCTATACAGGTATACACAGACACTACTGATTAAACAACTAATACCAGTATTGAGATGAGTGTGTGTCCTATACAGGTATACACAGACACTACTGATTAAACAACTAATACCAGTATTGAGATGAGTGTGTGTCCTATACAGGTATACACAGACACTACTGATTAAACAACTAATACCAGTATTGAGATGAGTGTGTGTCCTACACAGCTGTACACAGACACTACAGATTAAACAACTAATACCAGTATTGAGATAAGTGTGTGTCCTACACAGCTGTACACAGACACTACTGATTAAAGAACTACTACCAGTATTGAGATGAGTATGTGTCCTACACAGCTGTACACAGACACTACAGATTAAACAGCTACTACCAGTATTGAGATGAGTGTGTGTCCTACACAGCTGTACACAGACACTACAGATTAAACAGCTACTACCAGTATTGAGATGAGTGTGTGTCCTACACAGCTGTACACAGACACTACAGATTAAACAGCTACTACCAGTATTGAGATGAGTGTGTGTCCTACACAGCTGTACACAGACACTACAGATTAAACAGCTACTACCAGTATTGAGATGAGTGTGTGTATTACACAGCTGTACACAGACACTACTGATTAAACAGCTACTACCAGTATTGAGATGAGTGTGTGTCCTACACAGCTGTACACAGACACTACAGATTAAACAGCTACTACCAGTATTGAGATGAGTGTGTGTATTACACAGCTGTACACAGACACTACAGATTAAACAGCTACTACCAGTATTGAGATGAGTGTGTATTACACAGCTGTACACAGACACTACAGATTAAACAGCTACTACCAGTATTGAGATGAGTGTGTGTCCTACACAGCTGTACACAGACACTACTGATTAAAGAACTACTAACAGTATTGAGATGAGTGTGTGTCCTACACAGCTGTACAGGTCAGACACTACTGATCAGATGGCTAATACCAGTGTCATGAGAATTGGCTTACTTGTACAATTAGTGTGGTTGGAGCAGTAATTTTGATCCATGACTTAAAGAATATAGTGATGCCCTTTTCTTCTAAATTATTTAAAGTGATTTTTTTTCTAGCGACCAAATGTTAATGGGGATGCTTTAAGATTTTGCCTGAATTTGAATGCAACCACATTTGGTTATTTGAACCACGAACTGCTTGGATATCTTTGGGATAAGATATCATGCATATCTCCTTTATAGCCCTTGGAAAATTTTGTGACACATTGATATGTCATGTCAAAGGTCAAGGTCATCCTCAACATGTTAAAGGTCATAGCCCATTTGTTTGCTGCCTAATCGAGAAGGATTTATTGTAGGTCAATGAAATTTGCTAAATGTCTTGAGGTCCTTAGGCCAGGACCGACATCAGAAAAGGTTGTATGGTACCAGTCTATAAGGTAAAGGTTTTACTGAAGGTCATTCGTAGAGTATGTTGGCCATTGTTACTGACATGCCTTTTTCTACAGATATTAATGATGTCTTAATGTGCATGTTTATGTAGATATGTTATTTGATTATGGATATATGACAAGTGATGACAGATCAGAGTGTCCCACTTTTAATGAGTAGAATATGATATATTTTCTTTGTTACAAAGCAATATAAATTAACAGTTTTAGTCCACTAGTCCTTATAATGATAACATAAAGCAGAACCCTTGAAAAATGTAAATTTCTACTAGTCCTCAGGATACCTTAACTATTGGGCAGTTTGGCAAGGACTATAGGACGAGTGCCAATTTCTAATGCTGTTACACTAAATCTCACCTAGGGACATCATATTTGGTTTATGTGTTGGATAGCATATGTAGCCCTTTGGAAATACTTGCAGAGGTCATTGAAGGTCAATTCACTCTCAAGGTCAAATGCTCTAAAATGAATTAAGTTCATAATGACAAGAAGTAGTAGCATGAAGTTTGGTACGTATCCTTTGGTTGAGGCAATAAAGTGGTACAGTTCGGAGCAACCTTCAAAGAAAGTAAAGGTTACTGGAATGGTCATGTACATTAGTGTCTCCATTTGTTTGTGTGTGTACACTTCTCAGTAACACTGGTAGGGACAGTACCTAAATTGAGGTCAGTTGGGTGGGGGTTGTGGGGTTGGTATCAGCAGAAATTAAGTTTCGACTGTCATTCATCTTCAGTGACTATCAATGACATTCACTCGCAGCCTCCTTACCATGTAGGCAGCAGCCTCTGTGTGGATCACAGTTTTATACAGTTATGTTGTAACAGTCAGTGATTAGCCGTCATATAGCTGGAATATTGCTCATTACAGCGTTAAACAACAAACCAACAAACAAAGATTCACCTCAATTCTCAAATTTGTATTGTGTTAAGTTTGTGATAAAGTTTGCTCTGTATTTCTCTGATACCACATTATACCATATACTTATGTGGACAGAGTAACAGTGGGGCCGACTGGTTGTGTTTCAGTTCCACTGATCCGCCACATGCAGTCTCGTATCCTGATCCCGACCCCGTTCTCTCCACTGCAGTAGTGGCCCTGGCTCCTCACCTGTGTGGACTGTAGTGCTTAGTGTCCGTGTGCTGCAGATCACAGACAGGCACCAACTGGTGGTTGCAAGTCTCTACAATTGTAATATATACACAATACAAGTAATCTGACCAACAAACCTCTGTTATTATTTGTCAAGATTCCCAATTTTCGGGAATAGGAGATATGTTACTGTAATGTAAACTAAATGTTTCAGTGAATCATTGATGCAGTCTGTATGTACCCATTTGCAAAGTGCAGAGTCAGGGCAAAGGAAAGAGTTATTGACAAGTGTATGCATCAAGTCAGAATGTGGCATTGTATATTTCATAGTATAAGGTTCTGTGTCCTTTACAATGATTTGGCTATTATGTCCAATGTTGTGAGTTGATATGACTGGAAGCAATAGGAGCTTTGTTGTCTTCCATATCAACAATTACTTGATCAATACAAGGGAAATAAACACATACAGTAAACAGTAACACTTTTTTTCTTTCTCTTCTATGCCAGGACTTATTGAGAACACATAAGCTGGAATACATGAAAACAGCAGGAAGTAGAAATTTCCATCAACTTTCTCAACTGAATATTGGAACCTACTTGATTAAATGCTGTTGTATATACTAATATGACAGTAAATCATTGCAAATGTTAACTGCTGCAGTTTATTAACTTTTCAATTTCTAGATGGTTTTGAGAAGGATCTTCCAAGTTGAAGGTGCTAATGTTGAACAGGGGAAGGGTAGGTCGGCTTGGGATGGAGTTTGCTGTGCCAGTAGAAGTAATCAAGCATAGTATCTATTTATTGATGATGAGACCAGCAGCAATATTCCTCCTCTGTTGAGCAAGTGGAGGTGTTCATGCCAGATCACATGACCAGGGTGAGGGTCCTATGTTTGAGTCACATGCATCCGTCCAAACATAACAGTTCTTGTTGGATTGTGGGGAAATGTGGCCAGCCATTCAGGGCAAGCAGTCATGCCATGTTCTGTGTAACAGTATTATTGTTGATCGCGTTAGGGTGTTTATGTCAAAGTAAGTGTTCTAATGAACGCCATCTCAGTTCAACTCTTAAGATATGTTCACATCAGGCCATTAGGCTTAACTGATTGGTTCTCCTGTTTTGTGAAGGAAAGCCTTTTGTTTGTTTCCTCAGTTGGTAATATATAACTTCTATGTATAACACTTGCACACTAGTTGTGTCGGATGTCAAAACACTGTGTTGTGCTGAGATCCTGTGGTCATAGGTCCTAGATTCATCCTGATGTGATCCTTGGTTTGTCACTTACATCATCACATATGTCACATTTCACACGTCAGTCACATATGCCATACACTGGTACTGTCACTGTCACATGTACCTATAGTTACTACAGAACTGTTGAAAGTGTCACATGTAGACAGTTACTACAGTGTCAAGTGTCACCCATACTGATAGTTACTACAGAACTGTTGAAAGTGTCACATGTAGATAGTTACTACAGTGTCAAGTGTCACCCATACTGATAGTTACTACAGAACTGTTGAAAGTGTCACATGTAGATAGTTACTACAGTGTCAAGTGTCACCCATACTGATAGTTACTACAGAACTGTTGAAAGTGTCACATGTAGATAGTTACTACAGTGTCAAGTGTCACCCATACTGATAGTTACTACAGAACTGTTGAAAGTGAAATGTGTCACTATAACGTCAAGAATCTGATTTTCGGATAGTCATTGCAGTAATTCCAGTTGTTTTTGTCACAATATTCACTGCTACATAACATTTGTGGTGTCTACAGCCGCTGAAGTTAATTTTGGCCGACATCATATATATATATATGTGTCATGATTATATGTAATATTGACCAATGTTAGGTGCTGACTTTGAATCTTGACTTCTGTTATGTATAATTCCTAGCATGACTTGGTGTCCACGATTTGAACAGAATTATATTGAATGAATCGCTCCTAAAATACTTGAACGTCTGGTTTAGCCAGTGGACAACTCATATTTTGAAGCATGTTAATTTGAGTGCATACAACGTCATTTTCCGCGTTAAATCCAACTCTAACCTCATTTACGCAGTTTTATTAAAAAAATATGGTTGAAGCTTCTTACATGTAAGTACAGACAAAACGTACGTATATGTTTCTTGCTGGGACGGCCAATTGCCCGAACGTGGTCTCCCTGGTCGACGTTACGTATCCGCAGGTTGTATTTGCAGCGTAGACTGTATCAGGAGTAGGCAACCCAAGTCTTAAAGGTTGGAAATGAGTCCATCTATTAGAAAAAACCCACACTGGCCTCAACTTGTATGTTTTGCTAAGAACCGCCATGCAATTGTGATGTAATTTCCGCTCATGATCATGATCTGTACAGTATTATCTATGTGCCAGTCAGCTGGGAAGGGGCAGCTATCGGTTCTCTGTATGATAATTATTGTAAATAGGGTGCGAGTTACATGCATGTCCTCGGACTTGAGGCCAGAATATTTGTACCATTCGTAGATGAAATGCTGTCATCCATGTCTAATTTCAAGAGTGTATCCTTTGAAATAAACTTTTTGGATTGGAGAAGATGTCTTTTTTTATATTCACACATCGGTTGATGCTCGTTTGATGACTGACATCATCTGTGAAGGAGTACAAACACAGGAACCTGCATTAGTTTCAAATCAGAGCGAGACATTAGCCCCGATGGTTAAGTGGAGATGAGACCTTATTGAAGCACACGAGGCCTGGTCAAAACGTTTCAACTATGGGCCATAACAAAGATAACTAGTCATTGTAGTTCATTGTTTGAGTAGTTCATTGCAAGTATATTTGGTCTGTTGAGGCCATTTGTATATTAGTGACACCCAGTTGAATGTGATAGGGGTCCAAATGGACACAGAAATGAAAAAGAACGATTACCGATCAGTCATAAGGTTTTGAACTTTGAGAAAAGTACTCCCCAAGAAATTCATGAGTGTATGGGGATTGTTAAACGTTGGGCAGCTATGTTTTTGGCTGGAAGAACAAGCATTCACATTGGCCCTAGGTCTGGACATCCCATACACACTTTCTTGAACTTGAACTTGAGGAAGACACAGCTCTCTCTGCTCGTTGGGTGCCAAAGTTTCTAAATTCTGATCTTAAGGGGAAAAAAGAACTTACATAGCCAGAGACAATTTAGAGCTAATTATAGATATCGTCAAATTCAATAAGAGATTAGTAACGGGTGATGAACCATGGGTCTACCAGTATGATCCCGAGTCAAACCGTCAATCCATGGAATGGCACCATTCCACTTCTGCGGCACCAAAGGAATTCAAGTCTTCAAAATCAGTGAAGGAAGTTATGGCCACTATTTTGGGATGCAAAGGGTGTGATCCTTGTTGATTGCTAAGAAAATCAAAAGAAGATTACCGATGCCTACTATGTTGATTTGCTTCATCCTGAAAGATTCTATCAAAGAAAAGCGGCAAGGAATGCTGATTGCTGGAGTTCTACTCTTTCATGACAATCTGTCTTCTAACACCTCTCGACTTGCAAAGGCTGCTGTGCGACACAGTGGGTTCAAAGAGCTTCCCCACCCTCCATTCTCGGGAGACCTGGCACCAAGTGATTTCCACTTGGTTCCCAAACTGAAAGAGCACATTTGTGGAATGCGCTATGGTGACAACGATGACCTCAAAGCTGCAAAGAATGGGTGTGTTAGATTTAGAAATTTGACCAGCCCTCCTATATGTCTTCTGTTACAAACCGAGCTAACGGCCATGGCCATCGTGCCAGCGTTAAGGACGTCCTTACGTATTCTTGTAAATTTCCCTTCCATCTAAAGAATAAAAATATTTTCTTAATCCTGAATTATACTCCGTGCATCTGAACCTGTACGTGGCTTTTTGTAAAAGGTATTAAGTTTTACAATTGTACCGTGTATTGAAAACAACGGTCGAATTTATAAGTAACAGTTGGCGTACATAAAGTGAACTGTTGGCTACTACAATTTCTGTATTGCGATATAGTTTTCGCTTCCACTACAGTTAACATATAAAGCGGTGAGCTGTGTTGATGTTTGAGAAAAGACATTAAAACCCGCAACAATGTCAATCACACAGGCGGGCCTCTGTAATTTGTGTTTTTGTCTGTCTGTTTTATAACGCCGCAATCCGCAATATCCCAGCTATATGACGGCGGTCGGGAAATAAACGAGTCTGGACCAGACAATCCAGGGATTGACTTTATGAGCATCGAACTGTTATTTGTGAAATGCGGGGTTGGCGCAACCTTGGTCGTTGAAACAGACGTAACTATAACTTTTGAAAACAACCTGACTACGACCTTCGGTGAGTCTGTCAGCGATATTGAGAGAGATAAAGTGACTTTGTGCCACGAAAAGCTCGACTCCAGCCTGTTCAAGCTACCCTTCATCAGCCTCTGGTTCAATTGCACTGAGCCAATTTGGTAACATTGTATTTATTAGTACGTGTATTTGTTTCAGAAACCTCAGTTTAATCATTGCTTAGAGTATTAAATAGTTCCGGAATTTGCGTGGCATCTGTGAGATGTAAATAATGTTACAAAATTTACTAGTTTCTATTTTAGTTCAACTGTGAAAATATCAAAAAATTGATATGAATATTTATGTACATATTGTAGGAATTTATTGCATTTATTCTATTTTGCATTTTTTTGGTTGTAAAATGTAAACTTGACTGAATCAGGGAGCTCAGTTCCATCTGTCATTCTGTCTTTTGATAAATACAAACTTTGTTGAATAAATTTATATCTGTGTTGAATGTTTTTCCCTTGTTCGAAAATTTACAATACAGTATCCGGTTCCATGCTGCAGGAGACTGGGTGTCAGAGGAGACATATTTGTTCAAAAGTGAATTTTTAAAAAGTGATTTTAGCAGTGAGTCAGAGTTGTGTTTTATGACCTGAAATAGGTCAATGGTAAGAATTTTTTTTAATACAACATAACTTTATAATGATAGTTGCTTCTTTTTTTTTTATCTAAGTGTGCTTTCCATTTAGATCCTTTTCCACAATGCGTTTATGTTTCGTTTTACCGATTCAACCTGCTCTTAATGGTCGACCTGACATGTTTTAATTGTCAAATACTTTTGTCTAGATCGTACAAGCATTGAGGCTGTAATTAGCCTTATGGTTTCACATTGTAAGTTTTGACCCTCTTGAATAGGTATTCTGCATTTAGGAAGCTTTTTTTATCTTTTGTTTTCTTTTTCCGACCGACCGCCCCCCTTGGACACGAGACACACAAGAAACAGTAAGGGCGCCCTTGCCGGATGTCAGTCGAGCCAACTGCCTCAATATGTACCCCAAGTACAACAAACACGCCAGATATTACTAAGAATCCTGGTGTGCTGTTACGAATCTGTTTTCAGAAGAACATTTTGGTCTACTTTGAATGAATCGCACCTGGAAACCAAACCAGATCTTATTCTGAATCAGTCTTCTCCCCCAAACACCACCAACTCTGATTACATCACCGGATGGGAGGGCCTGACCCGCAAACATTGCACGTTCTCCGACTCAAACATTCAGTATCTCATGTGTTGTGATTTGACTCAAATTTTCGCACATTCTGTACCCAAGAAGTTGCTGGGCTGCGTTGTATGCTCGACAGCCATGGTTGAATGTGGCCAGCAGGCATCCTGCATCAGTGGCTGTTCTGCACGTGCCCGGCCGTTGCATGTGTATGTTAGTCAATCTGTCATTTGGTGAGATGACTAAACTGTTGACTCATTTGGTAACATTACTATAATGTGCCCCTTTTACCCAAATGACTAACTACGTGTAAGTAAAGCTATGTCAGTAGCTTGATACATTGGCACTTTAAACTTGGCACCATATTTGGCTCTCATTCACTTATTACAACAGTGTAGGCTACTATGGCACTTGTCGTTATACAGAACATTGTTATTGTGAGAGGTGCCTCTCCTAGTTGCACAGTTACTTGCATAACGCCGATGTTCTTGACCGCTCGACGAAGACTCAGTCCTCACTGAAAAGCGTCCTCCCATCAGTCAGCTTACAACAACAAACCACATGGCTGATTGCACAGGTAATCCCCTCAGAATGTGATTTGGCACATTTAATATCATAAACATTAAGAAAACTCAATATGTCATTAATACATTAAACAAAATGTACATGTCATAGGTTAGAAGTACTGAAAAAGTCTGAAATAAGCCACACCCAAACTGCACTTCCCTTAATTGTTACAGGTGCTACACAAGTAGGTATAATTCCAAAGATGTTTTTTCATAAATGTCTAATTTATGCCTTTGTACCTCCTTCAAAAGTGCATTACGTCTTTCAAGGCCTTTCACAGATAGATAAGTAAGTATTTTAAAACTTGCCATTGGCCGAGAATCACTTCAGTAGTTTCTGATTTTTACATTAAAGTATCTTTTACTGTATTTCTTTTTTTACTTTTTAAATACAACCACTTTTGATATTTACTCTAATACTCCATTTGGCATAACACTCTGCTAGCTTATAAAGTTATGCTTGTAATCCAATTGCAGACTCACTAAATATAACCATATCATCTTCAAATGATTACATTAATAATAACTCTTTTATAAATATTCACTTACACGCATTATTGTGTAAATATGATTCAAGGTCCTCATATAAAAAAAATAACATAAAGCAAAAAAGTCGATAAAATGTCCAATTGTATTAATCTAGTATTAGAACAAACTTGATCGCTGTTGGAATGACACTATTTTATACAAGCCTTGATGTTGTCATACATAGATCTACAAATAAACCAACACTTATACCCAACTTAAGTAATTTAATATGTCCAGTCCAGTTTGGGATATTGTCATTTAGATGCCGGACATCAGGTGCTTTGTCTGGTCAATATATTAGTAATCAAGAGACAAGATTATATTGCCTTCAGTACACCCGAAGACATCCAGTTCTTTTCTGTTTAGTGTCTCCCACATCCAACATTACTCCTAGGATGTTTCTGGGACTACACGGTCCCTACAGCTGTGGACACATACATTATCGTCCTTGCTACCTGGTTTCATGATGGTTCCCCTTGTTTTAACCAGTTTCCCAGCCTGCTGGAACTGGTGATCTGCTGCCTGTTTCCGCTTGAACTCTGTCCTGTCCCGTGAACAGTAACCAAGATGTTCCATGGTTCTTAAAGTTCATTTACGTCACATACCACATTCCCAGAACGTAACATACAACATTTCCACAGCGTAACATACAACATTCCCACTACGTAACATACAACATTCCCACAACGTAACATACATTTCCACAACGTAACATACAACATTCCCACAACGTAACATATAACATTCCCACAACGTCACATACAACATTCCCACAACGTAACATACAACATTTCCATAACGTAACATACATTTCCACAGCGTAACATACAACGTTCCCACTACGTAACATACAACATTCCCACAACGTAACATATACCATTCCGACAACGTAACATACAACATTCCCACAACGTAACATATAACATTCCCACAACGTCACATACAACATTCCCACAACGTCACATACAACATTCCCACAACGTAACA